TACTCATTATAATGGGCCTCTCAGAGTCTCAGTTGCAAATGTTTTTAACGTTGATGATTTATAATTGGTCTTAATGGACTTGTAACAACAAAAAATGATGGGTTGGGCCCCATCTAGACAGTCTAACAAAAATACATTTTTATGTAGCGTTAGTGTACACGTGTCACGAACATGATTACACTGTTGATTCTCTTACACTCCGCGAGTTAGCCGTTGAGGCTGTCAGAATGGTAACTTATTTTGATGTTAGGCTGACATATTCATTAACTAGCCGTTAATAATATTCCCAACGGTCGAGAAATTTGTCTATATATCATACACAATCATCTTGCGTGTGACCAGACCTAAGCCTCTCATTATGGTACAAGCTTTCTCTATTCTGTTCTTTATTTGCTTTCTGGAAAATAAATTGCTTTTTATTTCTGCTTGTTTCTAATTTGAAGAAACTTCTATTGGATGAATTTTCAGGAAAAGTATCAGAATTGTAAGGTGTCGGGTTATAAGAATAAATATCTTATTTAAGATGAGACCTAAGCCTCTTATTTCTAGTACAAGTTTTATATCTCTTGGGTTCTTTCTTTGCATCCTGAAAACTCGATTGCTACTTATTTCCGCTTATTTGTTGTCTTAAAAGGTACCGAAAAGCAACAAACTATGTGGTATGTTCTTATTTACTAATGAGTTTTAAAGTTAGGGAACTCAATTACATCATTGGGTTTAAATTCATTAAAGACAAATCAAAGTAAGTGCTTATAAAGCTTGTGAATTAGGAGTTTAAGATAACTATTCTTCCTCATATTTATTAAATTCGTTCTTTGTATATCTAATCACTTTTATTTTAGCAAAATTGTTCAAAGGGTTATTTAGCTATGTGTTATCCGTCCTTACACACACACACACACATATATATATATATATATATATATATATATATATATATATATATATATATATATATATATATAAGCACAACTTCATTTGTTTACTTGAGGTGTTGCAATAGAGGTTTAATATAAATATATATAGCTTCAGTCGCGGATCTGCCAGGAAGTTTTGCCAACCGTCGTGGTCAGCTTGAAGCGGCCGTAAACAAATCCGCGGTGAATAGCTCTCTTCTTATTCGCTCTCGCCATTTCTCGTCTTTTTCTTTCTTTCTTTTCTCTCTCTTTTTTTTTTGCTTTTTGTTTGGAAAGAGAAAATGATATTTCTTGCGAGAAAACGTTCTCTATTTATTGACAGACGCATCTGTCCTCAGCCGTTGGATGTTCTACCAAATTTCTCAACTATGCTGCTTTTTTTTTATGTGAGATTTGTGTTAATGAGTTTTTTTATTATTATTATGCTTCCATTAGATTTAACGCTGGTGTGTAGTGTTTCTTTTGACTTTGAAATATAATATCTCACATCATTTTGTTTTGTTTTTATGTCTTTTTTACATAAGTCGGATATGGACCCCTATGATCTCAACTATGCAAATAAATACACCAGCGACAAGGACAAGAATTATGGCATAAGAATCTTCTGGGAACTTGATACAGCGGCTCCGGCGGATATAACTCAAGCTTCTTCCATATTAGAAAGAATTAGCAGTTTTCTTGGCATGCAAACCAAGTATTTCAGTGGTGACTACATAAATGATCTGTATTAGCAGCTTTCTTGGCGTGCAAACCAAGTTCCAAAAAAGAATTTGAAAATTGTATAGAAAAACATAAAGTTTATATACAAGTCTCAAGCTTCTACATTTTAAACTCAAGTAACTTTTTTCCATTTTATAAACCTTTCTCCCAAAACTTTGCTTCTTCTGGTCTCGTCAATATATGACAAAATTTTTGGAAGAGAGATAAACCTTCACTTTAATGTCTATATTTTGTGTGCTATTTGCTGCCTCGTTAAAAACCTTGTCATGAAAATATTAAATGGGATAAAAAAAACCATGATAAAAGAAAAAGAGTGCAGTCACGCTCATCATTATATATCTCCCTCTAAAAGCATCTTTTTCAAAAGATTCATTTCGATATAATATAAATAAACTCAAAAAAGAGTGACTAAATAACACTAAAAATTATGTAAAGCAAGAGAATCTTATTCAAGCGATACATGCGTCCGTCCACATTTCAGAGGAAACATTTAGTTTAAGTTAATTTAAATTTATTTAAATTTATTAAACAATTAATATTATATATAGAGTTGAAAGTTGTATACTTTCTCTGTAATTTTATAGTAGGTTATGCCTCCAAAATCATATGATTTTTGGCCAAATCACCATTTTCTTCATAAGCTTATTGTATATGATGGTTGATTTCTTTAATAATCCCTAAATTAAACCCTATATGTAACCGATCTGAAAATAAGATTTAGTCCAAAATGAATAAGCTTGAAAGCCATAATCTTGGAAAGGGGTATTACGAGTCCTACAATTTTATAAGGATCTAAGAATAAATACATGATCTATATCGGATATGTTGTTGATTTTAAAGTGAGATTCATTTCGAGATGACTGAAGTCGAAAAATTATCATCTCGAGGGGGAGAATTAAAAGAATCCCACATCGATAATAAGTCGATAACTTTTGATGAATTTGATACCCCTGAACGAGATAACTCTGGTGAAGTTATATCCTAAAATTTATCACTTTGTGATATAGTGGAACATCTTATGATGTTCACTCTCAAATGAGTTTTAATGAATCCAAACATTCATTGAAGCGAACCGAATAGGCTGCTACGAGTGAAATCTCAAACCTAGTCTTGGTCACTAACAACAAGACAAGCTGCATGGTAAACAAGTAAACTCTTAACTTTAGTACAAGACAAGAAAGATTAGATAGACTTTGAAAATTGGTAAGATCAGCGGATTCGAGTATGAAATCAGCAAACTCGAGCTGAGTAGCCGACTTAAAAAATTTAGGTGTCTTCCTCAAAATTTTATGTCTTTGATTATTTTTACATGTCATGATTTACTTTTTGCAAAGACTAAATCAACGGTTTTTTGGGATGTCGCGGTTTTCCAAACCCAAAAAGTATTCGAATTATCACAAAAATCAAATGAGCATTTATTCAAAAAAATATTACTCTATTCAAATTGCTTGATTAATAGCTAAAAAACAGTTTACTAATACATAAGAGAGAAACATATGTATGCCCAAACGTGTACATATTTGATAGTTTAATTTCTATATTTTGTCAAAATATTTTTATTATGCTTCACTAATAGCAAAATGTTTTATAACATAAAAAAACTAAAAAGTAATAGAAAATGACATTTCATATTTATAATATGTTTTATACTAAATTTTATCTATGTAATTTTTTTTTCTTATTAAATTTTTTTTAAAACATAATAGATGATAACAAAAAGGGAATATTGCAAAATCTACCACATTTCAACAACTGGCATTCAAAATCTACCACAATCTCAAAAATCTTTCAAAATCTACCATATTTCAATAGCACATGTGGAATGCTGGACCAAAATACCCCTGATTGGGACAGAGTCTGTGTCAGGGACAGAGTCTGTGTCAGAGACAGAGACAGTTTTGTCTGGCGCTTCCAAAGAAGGAGCAGGTCTGCAATAAATGTTGCACGGTTATTTAAATAATATGTTATATCAGGGACAAATTCAGATCTAATGAGTAATATAATTAGATCATGGACAAATTCAGATCGAATGGGTGATATAATTAGATCGAGGACAAGTTCAGATCGAATGTGTAATAGAATTAGATCGGGGACAAGTTCATATCGAATGAGTAATAGAATTAGATCGGGGACAAGTTCATATCGAATTCAGATGGAATGGGTAATAGAATTAGATCGGAGACAAGTTCAGATTGAATGAGTAAGAGAATCAGATCGAATATGTTATATCGGGGACAAGTTCAGATCGAATGAGTAAGAGAATTAGATCGGGGACAAATTCAGATCGAATGGGTAATAGATATAGATCGAGGACAAGTTCAGATCGAATGGGTAATAGAATTAGATCGGGGACAAGTTCAGATCGAATGAGTAATAGAATTAGATCGGGGACAAGTTCAGATCAAATGAGTAATAGAATTAGATCGGGGACAAGTTCATATCGAATGAGTAATAGAATGAGTAATAGTACTCGGGGACAACTGGATCTTTTTGTTATTTTGCAATAGAAGGAAAAAAAATTCAATAATCCGGGTAGGTGAAGACAATAATGCTCAACTAATCTGTGGACCAAAATAGATGGTGAAAAATCTAAATAAAATTCGAAACCCTTAAATGAGAACAATTGGTGGACAAGATGTGGAATTCATGATAATAGAGCAAGATGATGAAATCGGGGACAAGATCTAGACGCAACAGAGAATTTCCAATCGGGGACAAGATCTAGAGACAAAAACGAAAGTTAATTGTTTAGTCTCAGGAGATATAATGTTGCTTGGTTAAAGTGCACGTGTTTCGAGGGAGAGAGGGATAAATAGAGAAGCTAATGTTGTAGGGAAGATAAATAGGGAGGAGAGATAAATAGGGAGGGGAAATAATTAGGGAGGAAAGATAAAAGGGAAGATAAAAAGAGAGGGCAAAATGGTAACTCTACATCGAAATGTGGTATGAGTTGAAAGAAGGGAAGGAATGTGGTAGATTTTGAAAGAAATTGGGAATAAGTGGTAGATTTTGTAGTTTTTCCTAACAAAAATATCACTAAAAGAACATTTTGTTAAAAAAAATCAAAATAAAAAATTACAGAATTTTGCATTACTAGTGTCAATGTTTAGCTACTTAAATGATAACTAAACCATGGATAAAAACAAAATCCCGCGTAGTGGGGGTTTAATAACCTAGTAAAAATAAAAATAAAAGCTTAAGATGGTATTCTAGCTGCAATTAACAAAAAAGCTCATACTGCTTCATAGCTATAATGGGAAGTTTGTGATACAAGACATGCTTAAACTCAATGACTTGCTATGCACGCATTTACATAACTAGAGTATCAGAATTATAAACCAAAGTATTAGAGTTAAGAAAGAAAGGAGCACAAAGTCTTCAGGGCATCACCTTAGTATCTCTCTCCGAACCTGAGAAACAGAGCACCGGTTCCACGATTGTGACGTACAGTATATTCAGCTCGCACCTTACCGAGTTTCACACCCAAACCGTACGATGAACCATGTCCCATTTTCCGGTAAACCGCTGTTGGATTCCCTTTCACATCCTTTGAACTTCCCAAATCGTTTCCATGCTCAGCAAAGGCATACACATGTGTGTTCTTCACAGGGATTCTAATCTCAGCACCAAGCTATATACAATTTTAACAGCTTCAGATTTTTATAAGGGAAAGATACAGAAAATGATTTTGTATGAGTTTTGTTATAGTATTTAACCTCGAGAATGTGTTTAGCTGCACCGAGTTCTCCCATGCTGTAGCCTCGAACAGAGTTAGGTCCACCAAGAGAAAAAGCATCATAGTTTGGAAGATCGCCTATGCAGCCACCGTAATGACCGTGGAGGACTAGAACTGGTGGTTTTGGATTACCGGATCCTTCTTCTACTTGCTTCAGCTGAATGAATCGTGTAAGTGTTAGTTGGTGGCGGTTGAAGAGCGGGAAATTGCTTCCTATACCCAAGCCTTGATCCACCTGCGATTTATGTTACTATATTATTGCAGTGTGTCAAAAAAAGCTCTAATTTAGAAACACAAACATGGATCGAGGGATTTATACAAAACCTGAAAGACATTCCTCTCTCCAACAATAGCCCCATTCACAAGCTTGGTGTTGTCTCGGGTTATGTTGGCTTGTAGAGAGGCTATGCGGTCAATACCAGTACCACTTAGAGTTGTTGGAGGTCCATTAACACTCATTCCACCGCTAGGCGATAACGACAGCCCATTTACAGAGACTTTCCTGTTTTCATCTTGGGTTATTATCTCTTCCAACATAACTCCATATGTGAATTCTCGCTGACGGGTTAAGTTCTGCATTTTGAAAACCAGGATTATATATTAGGGTGCTTGTTGGGAGATGATTACAAGTTGACTATATATAGGAGACTTGCTTACCTCAGTTAGAGTAGCTTTAAGACAATCTCGAGCCACAAACATTGGAGGCACTACTTCCTCAAAGCCTGGTCCCCCAGTGAACACAGGGCTAAGTTTTCTGCTGTTGAAGAAGCTCGTTTTGAAGGTACGGTTTCTAGGATTTTTATCACCGTCTAGACGCCGTACATACTCAAGCTTAGACAAAAGATCATCCTAAGAGAAAACCAAGCGTATAAAAGGATCACAAAATCAAACTACAAAATAAACCAGATAAGTATCATATCAGAAACGTATGAAAAACAAGCTAGTGTACCAGCTTAGGATTGAAGATGTTGCTAGTGGTCACAGCACTCATGAGAGAACAATTAAGGCCCTCGATGTTTTGACGTCCCAAAGTACAAGACCCGGTTACCTCGAACAAAGCCTAATAATGCAAGATAAAACAATTGAGGACATAGTAAATTCAGAGGGAAAACTCTAAAACTTAAAAAGTTGCCAGGTTTAGTATAGTACATACCAAAGAAGGATCAAGACTCCATTTTGCTGATCTCTAATCTGTCTCATCAAGCTTGATCTCAAGAACAATACCATTAGTTTTCTCATCTGGATGTGGAATGACTAAGGACTTAATCTTCCTCACAGCTTCGTTCACAGCTTCCATCACAATAACCTGAACAACGGAACCTCTAAATCCATCACAATAATCTGAAGGAAACAAAGCTTAATACAACACTTCATTTCTCAGAGGAATTTCATCAAACACTTACTAGACATCAATTCTATTTTACAATTCCACTCAAATAGAAACTCTGCTAATGCCAATCCTAAGCTAAAATCAATGCAACGAAAGCAAAATTCTAAAATCCACAACAACGTGAACGAATCAACAAGGAAAACCAAAAAATCCACTGAATCAGATACAAGTTTCAGTCTAAAATCATAATCACACTCGTGTAAAAACCAAAATCCAAAGCAAAATAGCTCTCTGTAGTGATTTGAGACTGATTTTGGTTGTTGATCTTCATCTTATCGCTTGTTCTTTGCGTTTCAAGTTTTGAAATCGGTACAAAAGAAAGAAAACGAGAGAAACAAGCGATTTATGTACAATTTCTCGAAGATCAAACTCGAGAATGCTTCACTCTCAAGAGGAATCAACAAGAGATTACGCAAGAAGAGATTCAAAGTTACACATACCTAAACGAGTCTCCGAGAGGTTGAAGAAGACGAAGAAGAAGAAGAATCTAGATCTCTCTCTCTCTCTAACTCTATTCGATTTCTTCAACTTGTAGCTCTCACACTCCTTTCTCTCTCTATATTGTTTGTTACTACTGACTGTTATAGCTCTCTGGAAGAAAACATGCAACCGCAACCGCCAAAACTCCTTTGCGTTTTGATTCTGCATTTGGGAACGTCTTCATTTATGGGCCTTAAGCCCAATTCTCTAACTGACCCAAATAACTAACCCTAAGCCCAAATAAAACTGTTCCAATTACAAATTGATCTTCTAACTTTTTAAAATTACCATTTTTTCTTAAACCTTATGGGTAAACGACATGTGTCTCCCTAGGAAGTTTCATATAATATCACAACTACACAGAATTCGGACCTCGACCGCAGTCCACACAGATCAGAAGTTAAACTCCAATTTCCCCCCAAATCAAAAGTTCGAGACCTTGGTCCCCAAAATTTTGAATTTCGTGGTTTATCTGTGGTTTACTGTACCGAACCGATGCCAAACCAAAACCTAGTAGAATAAACCGAATTGTGAAATTAATTTTGAAATGTAATGAAATTTTGAATTGGTTCTACTAGGTTTTAATTTCAAAATTCGGTTTATTCTACTAGGTTTTGGTTTGGCATCGGTTCGGTACAGTAAACCACAGATAAACCACGAAATTCAAAATTTTGGGGACCAAGGTCTCGAACTTTTGATTTGGGGGGAAATTGGAGTTTAACTTCTGATCTGTGTGGACTGCGGTCGAGGTCCGAATTCTGTGTAGTTGTGATACTATATGAAACTTCCTAGGGGGACACAGGTCGTTTACCCAAACCTGACTTCTAAAATCATTGATACTTAAAAACTCATAAAAGTTTCTGTTTTTTTTAGCCTCTCCCAGCTTGAATTGTTGCCATCAAATGAGCCATGAAGAAAGCATATCGAGCACCGGTGTGCTGTGGAGTGTAGTTGTCTCCAAGTCCAAAGTTTTCAAAGTTGAGTTCTATGTTCACAAACTAACCCGGCAACAACCTTTTCGACATAGCTTCTTGCAATATCTCCAAGAACTCCTCCATCACTTTTCTTGCCATTTCTATTGATGATATAGGAAGATACTCCACCTGAATATAATACACACACACATAACTATAACCTTTTGTTACATTCCACAAACTCCAAATTATGAATTACAAGAAACTAGCATTAGATCATCATCAATATTGTTTGTTAAAATATCTCAACTTACTATAACACTAGTTACCTCCATGACTATGCCTCGGACGGTCTCGGCATGAGCAGGAACAACTTTACCAACTCTCACTCGAAAATCACCAAGTTGATACTGAAACCCTTCAAAGTAAAACGAGAGCTTGCATTTGTAAGACTCAAGGTTCTCCATGATCATTTGAATCGACGAATCTGCCTCCACGACGATCCTCTTCGACCTGACGACGACGAAATAGTACTTACTTGACTCCTCTGGAAGCGAAACCCCTAGAAATTCACGCGGGAACTTTCCATTTTCCTTCTTTGACGCCATTGAGGCTCTCTATGCTTTGTGTAACTTCGTTTAGAATTTGACTGCTTAGTGTTGATCCTTGATTTGGTTGCCGCCAATGCAAAAGCCTAGAAAACTCCTAGAGAAAATAGAAAAAGAGTAAAAAAAAAAAGAACAACTACAAGAATTATTCTTCAGTTTCAATAATCGTCTTCAAACGTACCATTTGACGGGCATGGCTTGATGGAGCTACAAAAAGTCACACTGACAACAAAATTAAACAAAAGTTGTCTCTGTTAATTTACAATAATACAAAAGTGATACAAACAATAATATCTTAGATAGTGTAAAACAAAATGATAAAGTTTAAAATAAAAGATTAATTTATTTTATCAAAAAAAAGTTTTTTTTGACAGAACTTCATTAAGTGTGCACAAGAAAAGATAATTGAAAAGTAATTTACAGACTAAAATAGTATATAACTGCAAACAAATCCAATATTACATAGACATCAACTTTGGAATTATAATATAATTTTAATTTTTATTAAATAATTATATCACAAAGAAGATTTAGATATTCTAGTGCATTTGGTAATACCACATTTATATGTCCTTAACCACGAAAGCTCCATTTCATCTCTTCGCATAGAGTTTAAAAACTAATATGTGAAGTGTGTACCCTTCGATTATTAAGAAAAGAAAAAATAATATATATTCTTTGAAGAAAAAATTAAATATATTTTTGTAATATATAGACCACAATTTGTTTTTGTGCAATATTTTGTTATACAATTTTGGTAATATAACAAAATATACATTTTTCATTTGGAAATCATTTTTTGTGGTATTCAACGTCGAACAATCGAGAAGGAAAATATTATCTTATGGTAAAAAATGATTGCCAAAAGGAAAAGGCATATTTTATTATATTACCGAAGGTTTACTAACAAAATATACTACAAAATAGTATAACAAAACAAACCAAAAGAAAAAGGTATATTTTATTATATTACCAAAATTTTAGAACAAAATATAGCACACAAAAAATTTGTGGTTTATTTTGTTAGTAAACTTTATATAATAAAATATATATTTTTCTTCTCGGTTGTTCGATGTTGAATACCACAAAAAATGATTTCCAAATGAAAAATGTATATTTTGTTATATTACCAAAATATAGCACAAAACAAACCGTGGTCTATTTTGTGGTATATTTAGTTATATTACAACTATATATACCAAAATTTTGTTGTATATTTTTTTGTGGTATTTTTGTTATATTATTTTTTGTATATTTACTTTTAGTATATTTTGTTATATTTTAAGTAAAATTATGTAATAACTTATTATTTTTAATTGTTTATCAAAAAATTAATTAAAAAAATATTGTTAAAAAAAATATTTTTGGTCAACGCCTTATTCCGGCTACTAGAGCATTGAAATGGATGGTTATGGTTTTTGCAACATAACTTATGTTGGTTTGAGAATGTCTGTATGTGATTGTATTCGTGTAGCTAATAAAATATTTTTAAAGTATGTATGTATGACCATGTAACGACGTCTCACTGCCAAACATTTTTCCAAATATAAATGGTCTTATATTATATGGTTTTACATAATGTAAAACCGAAAAAATCAGAAAACCAAATAAACCAAACCGGAGCCAAAAAAAAACATAACCTCAAAAATTGCATTAGGAGCCAAATCTCTAAGCCAATAAAAGCATGCCACGTAGTTACGAATCGATCGATGCAATAACTTTTGTAACGGCTACAAACTTCTGATTTCCATTTTTGAATTCTTCTCCTCCGTCTTTACAAATTCCTCTTTCTTCTTCTGCGAAACCCTAGAATTCTTCTGCAAAAATCTCTGTGTCTTCTTCTTCCTGAATCCAAATCTTGTGTCAAGAGTAAACCATGCGGAGCGAGAGAATTGATACAGATGAAGCAGAAACGAGAACGAGAACAAATCTCTCGCAAGAAGTCGAAGAATATATCAAAGACACAATTGATCACTCGTTAGGTCTTCCGATCTCCATGGAAGCTCTTCAGAAGAAGCTTTATACGGCTGAAGAATCTCAACGCCGTCTTCGCGAACAGTATCTGGCTTTGGTTTCGCGATTAAAGGAGAAAGATCATGTAATCGATCGTGTTAGGGTAAGTATTTTGTTCTGGGTTTCTTTAATTTTTCTGGGATCTGTGAAATTGACTGAATCTGAATCTTGTTTTTGATCAATTTTAGTCTGAAGCGAGTATGAATGCGCAAGCGTTGAAGAAGTTTGTTGATGAGAATCAGAAATTGGCTAGTGAGTGTGGGAATTTGTTGAGTCAGTGTAAGAAATTGGAGAAAGAGTGTTTGCTATATCATCAAGATCGTGATGCGTTGATGGAGTTTGGGAATGAATCTGATGAGAGAGCTAGAGAAGCAGAAGCTAGGGTTCGTGAATTGGAGGATGAAATTGGAAGAATGTCTGAGGAAATGCAGATTTTTAAGCGTCAAATTGGAGATGGTGAAGTAAGAGTTTTTCTTCATATTAACCCTAAATTCTCTTTAATTGGCTATTGGGGTTAGTTGGGTTTAGAATTGCATTGCCCTTAAGTAAATTAGTTTGCTTTTTGCACTTGCAGATTCATAATTTGGCTAGCTTGTTCTTGATGAAATGGTTACTTTAATTGGCCATTGGGATTCGTAGGATTTAGAAGTAAATTATCTTGATTTTGGCACTTGGGGATCAATCATTTGGTTGTCTTCTCATTGATTCATAAGTCCATCAATGTTGTGTTGCTTTGTAGAAAGTCTTAAAATTGTTGATACTATCTAATTGATGTCCTTGAACGAGAGTCTATTGCTAGTCCACATTAAGTTTCTGTCTAATGTCAGTCCATATTGTTTTGCTTGGTGAAGGTAACAAAACTTTGGATTTCTTTTGATATATCAAATGGGTTTGTCGTATATCCAGTATTGTTAGTCGTTTTTGATAGCTTGAGGTGGATAAAGGCTGTTGATAAGTGTTTGATTGTCTATGTTGCTTGAGAGGTTGCTTGTTCCTTCTAAGATTTATCTTTCTGTATCCTTGAGGTGTAGCATATTTATCAAACAAATGAAGATTGGAAAGATTTGTTAGTGTCAACATTAGTCAGAAGATGAATCTATTAGTTGCTACTTATAATCATTGTAGCTGGAAATATAGTTTCTTTGTGTTCTGACAGAAGTCTGTATTTCATTTCTCTCAAAAGGTTGACAGCTGCAACACACCGTTAGAAGAAGATTTGCTTGATTCAGTTTTGGGATCACTCATAAGCAAAGATGAAACTATAATGGGACGTCTCTTCTTGGAGGCAAACGTCCAAGACCAATCGTGCCAAGCCTTGTTGAGCAAGTGGGATCATTTAAAGCCTTCAACGCAAAAGGTTCTTTCTTTAGTTTCAAGAGCAAAGAAATTTGAAAAGGAAAAAGAATGCATCATCATGAATCTCGCTAAAGCCGAGCAAGAGGTAATAATCATAAACATTAACACTCTTGTTCTTGTTCTGAAAATCATTCCACTTAACCTACAAACTTTTAACAGGTGGAACTTGTGAGCACCCTAAACCGAAAGCTGGATAAAGAAAATCGTAAGTTGCTAAGGCAACAACAAAGTCCTATTTGTTCTACAGAGCGGAACCGGAACAGCGCATCCGCAAAGGTAAAAGCAACACAAAAAGAAAGAAGTAAACAGCTATATAGTTCTTTGATTCTAACTTCAGAGTTTATTTATGTTGAACAGTCAAACAAGAGAAAGAGTCCGAAGACGATGAGCAGTCCGGTCGAGAAGAGGCTTGAGTTTAGCAGTCCAGAAATTAGCAGGAAGCCTCTATCACCTGTATGGAATAACTCACCAGATTCTAAGATGAACAAGGTTTGATGATAAGAATAATCAAACCACTATCTGTATAATCATGTGTGAAACCAGATTATATTGTTGCTTCTCTGAAGCTACTAACAACATGTATTGCTATGAAAATTTGGCCACAAAATCATGTTTCTAACTGGTAATAATTAGCCTCTACAAGAACATTGTGAAACTGACACAGCTTCCTAAACGCTGCCGTTTATTGTACATCTACGTATTAACATTGCTAATAAAACGTTGTCGTATTAAGTATCATAATTCTAAACGACATCGTTCTTCTACAAAAACAGTGCGAGGATCATAAACGCTGTCGTTTGAAGATTCTATGGAACGACGTCGTTACTTATTTCTCACTCAAAATAAATGTAATTGTGTAGCTTTTTCGATTTCTCTTATCCAAAACTCTCTCACTCATGGCTCTTCTTCGTCTTCCTGGCATTTCCCTCCAAATTCTAGGTCACAAATCAAACCACAAGAACCCTAATCCCAAATTCTCACTTACCAATCACTCTCTCTCTTTCTCTACTTCTTCACTATGTCTTCTCAATCATCACGCGACGTTTCCAGATTCAATTCCAGCAAAATCCAGAAACATCACCACTTACTTCTCCACCACAACACAAGAGCCAGTCCTCGAATCTTCCTCTTCTTCAGCTACTGAGGTAGTAGAAGAAGAGATTTCTAAAACCAGATTGATTGCTCAGAACGTTCCTTGGACCTCTACACCTGAAGATATAAGATCATTGTTCGAGAAATACGGGAGTGTTATCGACATTGAGGTTTTGATTTTTCTCGTTTCCTTCTTTTGGAACCTTGAAATTGAATCGTTTGTGTTAGGTTAACGAATTTGATTTTGATTTGTAGATGTCTATGCATAAGAAGGAAAGGAATAGAGGTTTGGTTTTCATTGAAATGGCTTCTCCTGAAGAAGCTGCTACAGCTCTTAAATCTCTCGAATCGTATGTAAGTACATCGCAATCATCGGCTTTTACATCTCTAAGTAGGGATAGAATCATTGAGATTTGGTTGTGTTTTGTCTCATTTTATCTGACTTTATGATTAGTAGAAGTTGTACATTGTGCTTATTAGGCTCTTTCATATTGTAGTTATCCCAATTTGATTGATTTTCGTATGTAAGAACATCGCAATCATCGCTTCCTCCATCTCTAAATTGGCACAAAATCATTGACATTTGGTTGTGTACTTGTGTTTGTCTCATTTTATCTTGACTTTTACGATTAGTAGGAGTTGTACATTGTGCTATCAGGCTCTTTCATGTTGCAGTTATCACAGTTTGATTGATTTTTGTATGTAAGAACATCGCAACTCGCTTCTTCCATCTCTAAATTGGCACATAATCATTGAGATATTTCTCTCATTATGTTGTGTTTGTCTCATTTTATCTGAGTTTACATTAGCAGAGTTGTACATTGTGTTATTAGACTCTTTTGGGTTGCCGTATCCGATGAAAACGATAAATTTTGCTGAACAAAGCTTGACAGAGCAAATTTTTCTCATACTTCATCTGATTGAGTTTGGTGCTTCTTGGTCCCTGCTCTCATTTGGTTGTGTTTGTCTCATTTGATCTGACTTTACGTTACAAGAAGTTGTAGTGCTATTAGGCTCTTTCATGTTGCAGTATCCTGATATGAGCCTCAGCCCTAGCCACTGATCTTGTGTAGTAAGCCGTTGTTAATTAGAACGCAAGAACAAAGAGATTTAAAGCTAGCTTCCTCTTAACCCTAAGCTCTCTTGGAGATTAAGGTTAATTCTTGGAAGATGAGTTTCTTATTGATTATAAGAGAACCTTATATAGATCCTCATAGAAACCAACTTAACATAATTAAAAGGAAAACTCCCTAAATCAATACTAAAAGGAAAAGACCAAAACACTAAGATATGAAAACCACTATCACGTATCATTATTCCCCTCCTCGACTTGGACAAGCTCCAGCTCTTGTATGCCTCTCTTACCCCACCATGTCCTCCTCTTCGAATGGTTCATCTTCCTGATTTGCCCCATCATTGACTAGCACGATTTGAAAAAGAGATGGTTTGCAAACATGCCCTCGTGTGAAGATTTCATCACAGTTGAAGCATAGCCCTTTTGCGCGTCGCTCCGTCATCTCTGCGCTAGTCAATTTCTTCAAAAACCGTTGTGGGTGAGCTTGTTTCACTCCTGTTTGTTGAGGCAACAGAGCTTCCTCGTCTTTTCCGCTTAGACTCCCACCATTTTTTGTCAACGTTGACTTAGTTAGCGGAAGTGAATATCGAGCTGCGGGCGCAAAGTGTCCTCCAAACGTTCGAGTACGTTTATCGCTCTGATACCAAATTGATATGAACCTAAGCCTTAGCTCTTGTTATTGGACCCGTTTCTTAAGCTTAAAGAACAAAGAGATTTAAAGCTAGCTTCCTCTTAACCCTAAGCTCTCTTGGAGATTAAGGTTAATTCTTGGAAGTTGAGAATTCTTATTAATCAAAAGAGGTCTTTATATAAGACCCGTACAAGCTCTTTAAAAAGTAAAACCAAAACCTTATTCTATTTTAAAAAGGAAATTACTTAATTGCCTTAATGCTAAAGAGAAACCAAACGTAAAACACTAAACCGTATCATATCCAAAGATAGATGTTGTTGTCCACAATCATTGCATATTCCATCTGATTTCTTAAGTTGTTTCTTTGGCTCTTGCTCTTTCTTTGATCTTCATTTTTCATTGAATTGTGTGTTGTTTAGGATTATGAGGGTCGTCGTTTGAAAGTAGACTATGCAAAGACCAAAAAGAAGAAGACATATGCGCCGCGTGAGAAGCCTTCACCAGTGCCTACATTCAATTTATTCGTTGCAAACTTGGCATTTGAAGCAAGAGCCAAGCATCTTAAGGAGTTCTTTGATGCAGACACTGGTAATGTTGTGTCCACTGAAGTTATATTTCATGAAAATCCAAGGAGGTCGAGTGGTTACGGATTTGTCTCTTTCAAAACCAAGAAACAGGCCGAGGCAGCGCTTATTGAGTTCCAAGGAAAGGTAAATCCAAGCTATACTAAATGATAATGATCAATCATACTTTTAAAGCATTATAGGCTTATCAGTTAGGTCAATCTTGAGCGAAGTTGAAGCTCATTATTGCTGTCTGATATAGTTGTTGAATGGAACCTAAGTACAAGAAAGTGTTTGTGTTTTGGTTTATTGTTGGTGTGTTTTTTGATACTATTTGAGCTCAGGGACCATTAACGGACCCGTGTACCGGCTTTTCTATTCTTTAATACCAGCTTTAGAACATGAGCTGATTAAGTTGGTGGAATTGACTGTGTGAAATTTACATACGTAGGATTTCATGGGAAGACCAATCCGATTAGCTAAAAGCAAACAGTTTGTGAAATTGCAAGCAAAAGAAGGGTTGCAGCCACCGGAGGAGGAAGAGGAACCATCTCCTTCCGAGGCAATGACCCAAGAGGTTGAAACTCCAGCTGCATAAAACTGAATAAGGTAGTAAAAGCTTAATTGGTTTCATTTCCTGACTCTTTTGTATCATTACACCTCTAAACTCTGAATTGATTGAATCAGTATATATATACATAGTCTGTGTTGCAGGATTATTGCTGGAGGTATTGGAATTGAAGAAAAAGCTTATCGAGCTTTCAGGTCTGTTTTTTTCTTCTTAGTTTTTGACCAACAAGAGGAGTGGATACATGCAAGTACCAACCTTGAGTAAATGGTGGAGAAGTAAGTAAGAAGTACAAGACCGATTTTGTTAGAACTGAGAACTAGTAGAGACCGGTATACCAAACGTCAGTATCAGACCAGATCAAATCTCAAGAAACAACCCCATGTGTCTCCTGAGAAACTTGCTTTGTTAAGTTTAACACAATGCTTCTTTGTTTGTGATCTAGTTTCGATTGCTTGTTTTTGCGTTTGTTATATGTTTTGTGTGTAATCTTTTTATATATGAACCCATAATCTTGAGTATCTTAAAAAAGTTATATTAGTAATTTGTAAACGCAAATGCTGCTAACTTAGTATAAAATTTACTTTAGAAGCTAGGTTTTATTTTTCAAGTTAGAACACTAAAGGTTTTGGTACTCCCTCCGTCTCTTTATTTGTTAGTTTAAGATTTTTGCATACCGATTAAAGAATCATTTAATTTTTTGTTTATTTAAAACTAAAACATCATATATTATCTACCTAAACACGATTTAATCAATAGTAACACCATCTTTAATCAATAGTAAAACTATCTGTAGAATATAAATCGTCAAAACCAATAAAAACTAATTAATTTTGTATTGTAAGTTGGAAACATCATCTAATTTAAAACAAATTTTTCCTCTTAAAACATAAAATTAAGAAAAAAAAACAGAGAGAGTATTAGTTTGGATTTTGATTTAAGACATTGTATAAACTATGGACGGGGAAGAACCACTTGTTTCATTGTAAGTTTGTAACACCTACAAGTCCCTAGACCGCTTCTTATAGTAGATTCTAGATTGGCACTCAAACCTGAAACCGCCTCTTCCCGCGGCAGCGACACTCATATATCACCTAGAGCATTTTGTACTAAAGTACTAGTTCAAAAAAGCTTCTTGTACTTTTTCTTTCATTCTTTTTAAATTATGTTGTATGTTTTAAATTTTATCAATGGTTAAGAAAAAAAGACATTGGTATATGAAAAAGGACAAATTCTTGTCACTTTTCATTTAGGTTTAAGTTGGAATAGTGGGGAGGGAATGAATCATCAAATGCGAATCAGATTTCACAGCTAATGAATGCAAATGCTCTCCAGCCTTTTCCTTTAAAAAGGAACAATTTCATCAACTTTGGTTTTACCTTTTTCTCTTTTTCCTCCTTTTGTGCAAAAACCTAAAAAGAATAGAGTTCTTTTCGATTTATGTTAAACTAAAAAAACGATGGTATCTTCGTCTAACTTTTATAGCAAACGCATTTAGTTCAACTTTTTCATAATTTTAAGTATAACTTATGATATGAGTAAAATATTTTGTCACGCCACCTTTAACCTAAAATGGTTACTATAATACGTAGAAGCCCACATGGCTGAGCCAATGAAAGAATCCTGAAAATGCTTTTATATGTAATTCTTACAGCTGTCTCCACGTGACAAAACCTACTTACTTTACCTTTCTGACCAAACCCAAAGACTTTTTAAGTACAATTTTTCAATTCTAAACGTAATTATTCTCGTTAATATTAGAGACTTTTCAAATCTTGTAATTTCAAAAGTTATCCAATAAGTAACGCAATAAAAGTGAAGAAAGAATCAGACAAGAGACCAAACAGCTGTTTTTTTGCCACTACCAATAAACGACAAATTCACCGTTCTTGGACAGGTCGACACGTGTCTCTACACACGCACACGTTGCTGACCTCATCAGTCATCACTAATCATCTTCTTTTTCTATAAAGTGTTTAATCACTAATCACTTTCAAGATTTAACTCCACCAATTTCGAATTGTATAACTAATTCAAATCCAGACGCAATAACTAAACCAAGATTATGAATTTGTTTTTTTTAAAGAACCAAAGATAAAATGTGTCAAGACCATAATACTAAAACATTAGTGATAATAACAACAAACAACGATAAAACACGAAGTGTTTAACTAGAGTGATAATAAAACACAAATGATAATTCTAAAACGACTATTAAAAACACAAATCGAGTATATCTATCGTCCAACGCTAACTCAATTCTTAATACATAAATCAAAAATTAAAATAACACGAACAAAATAATCCTTAATAGAAAAAAAACTATCTCAATAGATTCTAAAATAATCAAATTACATCAACAAAGAAGCAACGAATGCAAAACCGGCTAAAGATCCAGCGGCGAGAGTGGCGGCGGCGTTGTTATCGACGGGAGTGGATCCAGTCGGGCCAGCGGCGGGAGATCCATCGGGAGTGAGAGATGTTGGAGGAGCGGGTGGTGAAGCGGAGGAGGGAAGTGGTGAACCAGCCGGAGGAGAAACCGGAGCCGCCGTGGGAGTAGCGGATGGTGTGGGAGTTGGTGTGATTGAAGGAGTAGGTGCGGCGGTTCTTGGAGCTTGAGCAGGAGATGGAAGAGGAGATCTTGTTGGAGCTGGTCCTGGAGCTTGAGCTATGGCTGAAGATGCTATGAGAGCGAGGAAGAGCAAAACGACGACGGATTTTGAAGCCATAGTTTCGTAGTTTGAGAAAAGTTTTAGAGAGAAGTGAAGGATCTGTTTCGAGCAGAGAGGAGGAGACGAAGAGGGTTTATATAAGAGAAGAGAATTGATGTTTCTTCGAAATTACACGAAGACGTGTAAATGTTTATTGTCAATTTGTAAGTAAGTCCCTAGAGTTTTCTTTTTATTATGATTTGGGGCTGATTTGTTTTGGACTTTTCTTCACAAAATTAGTTTCATATTCAAACATGTGTTAATATATGTACGTTAGAGCAAAAGAGAGAAGAATTGTACACTATGACTCCAATTGGTTACACACATAATGGCAAAATGATGTTTTGTACTTCGATTATACAAGAATTTTACATAATGTTTACAAAAAGTTGATGGATAAAATAAATAAATAGGCGACAATTAAAATCGGTAGTTATATTCCATCTAACATATCTAATAGATGTACTACTGAAAATCGATGATTTCACAAAGAAAATTATGAGGCTTTACATAATTCATGTAAAAATCGAAGTTGATCTTTACCAAACCTATGCTAGAATTAGTGGACACAGAAATATTTTGTTGGAATATAGTTGAACTTCTTAATTTTTTTCTTTGTTGTTATCAAAAAGAATATTCCAAAAAAAAATTAAAAAATTACTATGTGAAATTGAATTTTTATTGTTGATAACCTACCAACATATTTTCTGTCTTTATCTTAGACATATTCATTAATAATATTCCAATTATTCTGCTATTAATAAGTAGTTCAACGAACAAATCTATATATTGAGGTAAAAAGAAAAACGATTTGGAATTTCAGTAAACTACTAGATAGCGTAACCACCAACTTTTTTTTTTTTTTTTTTTTAACCACCAACTTGATCCAAATCTTTCTTACATTACATGCATTAATGCATACTTTATGGATTTATTTCAAGATTGTTATGGAAACGTAGATATGATTAGGAAAGTGGAGGTAATAAATTATTTTCGTCTGATAAATTAATGATACCGTACACGTATCATTAGAAGAAAGAAAACAACTATGGAAACAAATCGAGATAAAAACATGAGCCGTCCGATGGATTTGGCTAAGTCGTCGACCACCGACCCTAACACCAACTACGCGTTGTTTCCAAAGACTGCCCTAACCACGTGGATTAATTAAAGGTTTCGAGATTAATCAACTTTTAATTAATGTGACCTAAACTTTCACTTACCATTATGATTAGTGATTAGTGATTACTGATTACGGATTAGTGACTACCACGCGGTTGTGTTTCCCATTAGTCTTGCAAATTCTTATTCTACTATTTAGAACATAGAGGAAAATAGCTTGAAATATGTCGCTAATTAGCTTGAATAAATAAATATATAATTACTTATTTCATAATGCAATTTTTCATTCTGCAAGTTTTATTTTGTAAATTTTTATTCTACTATTTTTCATTCTGCAAATTTTCATTCTACGATTTATGTCATTAGACGATTATGCTATGTCATTCTGTAAAATAGTATTAATTATTTTGGTCATTTAAGTGTCTATGATCTTTCTCGAAAATAATATATTGAAAGATTAACCCTTTTTTCCTTTTTTTTTTTGTTTCCTAGAGGTGTATGGAATTAAATTTGAATGTCAAGACACATAATAAGAAAACACACTATTAGTAACTAAAATATATTTGTTTTTTTTTCTTGATAGAATTTATTTGTTGTTAATCTACAGTATAATTTTTATAAATTACTATCTTGATGAATCAATACAATTCGTCAGTCCCAAATTAATTCTTCGGACTAATTCTTATATTAATAAAATATCAAAATTTTAATATTATTAATTTATTGATATTTTACTGTACTTTTAATAATTTCAAGCTAATTAGCGACATATTTAGAACATAGAGGAAAATGTAGAATGCATGTTCTAAATATTTTAGATATATGATTTTCGGATTTCTAAAATTCTCAGAACTGAAATCTAGTCTGAAATATGTAGAACATGTACAAAAATGCAGAATACACATTCTGAGTTTCGCAGAACTCTAGAAAACGTGTTCTACCAAAATTAGATGAAACTTTATCTATCCAAAAATCAACTTTTTTTAAACCAAATCTAAAAAATTTCACTTCAAATCACCTCTACTCTTGTATATCTACCTGTTTTTATGATTATTTTTTTTTAAAAACATTTAAATTAGGATGTAGGGGTAAAATCGTCCAAACTGACAATCTCACAAAAAAAATGTATATGGACAAATATTTAAATAGATATCCTTTATTTCCAATTTTCCCATTAAACTTGGACTCCACGATCGAAGCATCTATTTTATTTATTCTTTTGGAATGGATTTCTGTTACTACAGTATAATTTTTTCGCTTTAACGTAACGTTTCAGTGTTTTAATAATTGGAATGGAACCTCGGATACTCTCGAGTTTTAGAACGATTTTGAATTGTTTACTTAACAATAAAAAATGGTTTGGATTCTTCGAAGATGACAATATCAATGTGGTAAGTAGGTGGTGAGTCACCTTAAGTTGAAAGACAAAAATGACTTCTTTTATTATCCGCAATTCGTTACAGGAAAAAAACAAATCCTGTATACTTTATTTTAGGCCTGGGCACAAGGCAAGTACTTGCTATTTTTCAAGTACTTGTGACTCGCCTTGGCCCGTACAAGTAATTGAAAGTTCGGCTTGATACTCGACTCGTTTGAGCAAGTACTTGCTATAACAAGTACTCGTCAAAAATTTTGTTACTTGCAAGTAACTTGACCCGGCTTGTTACTTGCAAGGTAACTTGACTTGGCTTGTTACTTGCAAGTACTTGTTACTTAAATCTTGAAGTCTTGAACATTTAATTTAAATAAAAAACCAATCTCATACATATTATAAAACATTCAGAATTTTAAACATCATAAAATCGCAAAACATCCTAGAATCACAACACATTGAAAGTTCCAAAAGATAAGCATTTTAAAACAACTTGGTTCAAATTGAAATCTTGTCTCTGTCTTCCTTCTTGAGTTCTTGTCTTCTTGATTCTCTTTTTTTTTCCATATAAATAAAACCAACATAACAAATGTTACTATAAGTGTATTACGCTTTAAAACAAAACTTGAAAATCATGAAGTATCCATACCTTTCATTCTTCCTCCAAAGCTAAACCCACTCCTTGCACCAAATTTCCATAAGCATTTGAAGTTACAAATTCTGTTGAAACAACATAAAAGTTGTAAGTTCACATGTAAAAGAAAACATGCATATATCATTGGTCATTGGGTTTATAGTTTTTAGACTAATTTATAACATTGGTCATTGGGTTTTTATAATTTTAGACTTTTAGTGATTGGGTTTAAACGTTTAATGGTCTTTATATCTTGTAATACAAAACTGGACGAGTAGCGGAGCGAGTAACGGGGCGAGTATCGAAACGGGGCGAGTAACGAGCCAAGTATCAAAAAAAATTATGATACTTGATACTTGACCCTTACTTGCAAGTAATGGAATTATACTACTTGGTACTTGCCTTGACAACACCGGGTACTTGTTTTTTCAAGGCGAGTACGAGCCGAGTAACGAGTATCAACCGAGTAACGAGTACTTGTGCCCAGGCCTACTTTATTTGGCAACATCGTTTTATTACATTTTGTGGAGGATATGGTTCGAAGCTTGAATAATTTCAAAAAGTCTGGTGAAATGTAGTTTTCGATTATAAAGTAAAGGTTGTAAAACCCCAAATCATGAAGATTTATGATATTATTTGGATTATCAAACTTTACATGACATAGGTGGTACATTTAACTAAATTTAAATTAATAATAGCACTACATATATTTCGTATATAAACACAACTGAATAATACATATTCCATGATTATAAAATACTGTACCATGGCTCTATATATCTCTTTATTTCTGATTGGAAATATCGTACATTTTATAATTTTACATGTAATCAAGTTTTACAAGCACTCATGACTCATGGAGTCATGGTTCTTTTCCTCATAACTCATACACCTTATTTTTTCTTCATAACTCATACACCTTATTTTTTCCTCTACCGTGCGTTATTTGTGTTGAAGCTTGAAGCTGTTCGTGTGAGTGTTTATCTTACTTGGACTGGAGAAGGATTGAAGAGAAAGGGGCCACATTGTAGGTATCAGCCACGCCGGCAACACCTTCGCTCACAAAATCATCCGGGGACTCAAGGTTTGTGTCAGCCTGTGGAAATCATGAGAATTGAGTCGGTTATGGAATCAGAGAACCAAAGAAGATGAAAAAAGAAAGAAAGAAAGACTGACCACACGGAACCATTGTTTTTCCGGTGGTGGCTGTGGAATCAGAGCCTTGACAAAGTAATCGTGGGCGTTGAATGCCACATAGATGTCACGGCCACCTACACCATCATGGAGACTGCAAGAACAATCACTTATTAATCTGATAGCTCGTAAAGCAGTATAACACACTTAAGTAAGAAACTTTGGGATTTTTGTGTCTTACGTGAAAGCTAGGAACTTGCTCTCAGTGTTGCCCCAATTATCTTCATGCCATGTAATCTCGCCCTTTAGACAATCATTGAACATTAGAGTAGCACTCAAAAATCCGAGGAATATATGAAAACAGGAGGAAGTTAGTTACTTGGGTGAGGAAATTTTCATGCTTGAGTACATGGTGTGAATGTCGAAACTTAATCACCTCCGAGAAAAACCTGAAATGGTTCTGCTTCTTTGCGTCGAGCTGGATTTAGAAAGAAGGAATGATTACAGTTCATGAAGGAATCAGTAGTTAACAGAGACGGACAAACCGCGAGATGTAAGACTTGCCTCTTTCCACTGGAAATTGTTAAGAGCAGTATCATGTCCGTAGCTATTGTTATTACCATACCGCGTATGTCCATATTCGTCTCCCATTAGCATCATTGGTGTTCCCTGATCATTGATCACGGTTGGTCTCATACGGATTTTTAACAGTATTTAAACAGGTGTATGTTGGCAATACATACCTGAGAAATCATCAAAGCTACATGAAAATTCTTCATTTGCCGAGTACGTAAAGACTTGACGTGAGCATCATCAGTTTCCCCTGTCAAGAAACAGAGTATTAACTTGATGCTGGAATAAGAAATTATACAGAGAAACCAACAATGCTAGAATGTTGTGAAGTGAGATTCTAACTGTACCTTCAAACCCACAGTTCCAGCTATGATTGTCATTACATCCATCATTTCCTCCTTCCCCATTGGCCTCATTGTGCTATAATACAGAGGAGATGCGTAAAGCACAAGACTTATTCAGGTTTTAAAATCAATACATTGGAAATCAAAAGTACCTTAAAGTTGTACGATACAAGATCTCGCAATGTGAATCCATCATGTGCGATCACGAAATTTACACCATGGTAAGGCTTCCGCTGGTTAACCTATATACGAGAAAAGGGGAAGCACAATGTTATCATGAAACCTACTTGGATTCTACTGCAGTTAAACTTGAATGAATCTTACCTGGTAAAGATCGGAAGATCCTGAAACCCGAGTAGCAAAGCTTCCTTTCATGCCACTGTCACCCTAAACATGTAGAATATTATAGCATTTATGAAATAATTCATGCATTTCCCAAGAATAGGTGAAAAATACTCCAATGTTGTATACCTTGATAAATCTTCTAACATCATCCCGGTACATCCCATTCCACTCAGCCCACCTGACTTGGGAAAAATCCAGTAGGCATACCAGTTACACAAAGTTTATAACCGCAGAAATTTTGAAGAAACTACCAAGTATAGTACTATCGGGAGGCATCAACTTAAAGCTAGTTATGAAGCTAAAACGGTCACCTATCCCAATTTGGAAACTTCCCAACTAGATATAATCCTCCACAATCCCAAGGCTCTGCAATTATTTTACATCTTGACAGAACGGAATCCTTGGCAATTGCCTGATTCAGTAAGAAATTTCAAAAAGAACATCATGACAACAATGTTATATCTTATTTTCCGAAAAATGTATGCACAATGCATTAAAACCAACCCTAATGAGTGGGGGAGCACTGAGTGGAGATCCATCTGTTGCTCGGCAAAGCACACTAGCAAGATCAAATCGGAAACCATCCACATGATATTCAGTGACCCTGCAGTTAGGTAAAGAGAAGAAAGAAGAACCAGGAATGATTAACCATTCGAAGTAACCACAAAGTCTGTCAATTTCAAATCAATGCCACGTTTCAGGATTAGCTGCAAGATATTTGGTCCATTATTTACAGTGGCTAACATAGATTTTGTCCATACCAGTGCCTTAAGCTATCTAGTATTAGTTCCATAACAACAGGATGGTTACAGTTCAGTGTATTCCCTGGAAACAGAAAACAAAAGAAACGTTGAGCACACATATTGCAGCAAACTGTAAACCAAACTTTCATTTGAAGTACGGAATTTTGAAAAGTAAAGCCTACAATATAAGCTTCAAAATAAATTACCACAGCCAGAAAAGTTAAGCAGTTGGTTGTTTGGATCAAGCATGTAATAAACCTGCAGAATATATCTCACTGTTTAGAGTTCCAAGACAAGAAAAGAAATAAACTGACATGAAGGTAAACCTCTTATGACTCACCTTATTGTCTATGCCACGAAATGAAGTGGTATAAGGGTATTTGTCATCTGCTTCGTTGGTATGATTATAAACTACGTCCAAAATGACCTGCAGAGAAAAATTGTAAGAAAACTTCTGAAGACAATCAATTACAATAAGCTCAACAAGAAACAAACTGCATCGGCCCCAAGAAAACAAGAGGAAGACAATGGCATTGCTACCTCTATACCAGCAGAATGTAAGGCTTTGACCATTTCTTTAAGCTCTTTTGAAGCTTTAACTGGGTCTGCCTCACCACTAGCATAACGGCTCATTGGAGCAAAAAAGTTAATTGTCGAGTAACCCCATGTGTTAACCTAGTAAAAAAAATTCTCTTTCAGGTATGGTAAGCACTGAAACTTCCATTCATGAAGGCCCAAGTTAAGTTGAAAACGGAAGAATTTTATACCTACCATCGCAATAAGACCTGCAAGAAATATTACAAGCACACAGAAATGTAAATTGCTGATTCATTGATTACCATGTGATCCCTAGGGTTAGGACGCCTCTGAAGCTCCAGTTCATCAAACTCAAACACTGGCAATAACTCCACTGCATTTATACCCAGATCTTGAAGGTGTGGGATCTTTTAAGAGAAGAAAAATAGAGAGTGAGCTATAAAAGAAGCTTTGTACATAAACATACAAGCAGATGAAACATATCCTCAATATCTATCATAATAAGCTTTTCAAACTTTTAATGTTTTTGGTAAATGACTCCTGCTTTAACCCTCGTGCTCATCAGAGTAGAATATAATCACCTTCTCAATGAGACCGAGGTAACTGCCCCCTATAGCTGGGTCCATCCCACTGGATTCATCAGCAGTAAAAGCACGAACATTCATTTCATAAATAACAAGATCCTTCTGCAAAACAGTAGCAGATGATTAAAAATATTGAAACAAACTAGGGAAGAAATCATAAATTCTGTAGTAATACAAATTCCATAATCCAGTCAGAAAAATAGCTCATCAACAGAACCGTGCAACAACTAGCTGAAGGAGACAAATGAAAATTGTACCTCAGGTATGTTAGGAAACTTGTAGTCATCGCCCCAGTTAAATGGCGAGCTCTCAAAGTCATAAGTTCCATAAAATTGAGCAAACTTTTGACTACTATCTCCAAAAGAACTACGACCTTTAACTAGCTTTGCATAGGGATCCAAAAGCAAAATACTACGGTCAAACCGATGCCCTTGTTGCCATTCTCCAGGACCATCAACACGGTAACCATAAAGAACATTATTGAGAGGCAAATCCTATCAAAATGTAAAAAATTTCACAGCCAATGAATAGTGAGAAGTCAAAAAGATAAACTGTCTAAAGAAGTTCCTTAGCGAATGAGAGTACCTCAACACAAATGTGCCAAGTATCCCCAGTTTTGTTTACACTTGGATCCAAAACCAACTCAATCATACCATCATCATTCAAATCATCCTTACCACTACAAAATATACCACCAAAGAACATTAGCATCACAGATTAAGCAAGCAAAACAAAAAACTAACTTGTTATACCTTTGGGGAAGTGTTAAGCAGAGTGTGACAGAAGTAGCATTCTGAGAAAACAAAGCAAAATTGATTCCATTGTCGACTTGAGACACACCAAGAGGAGATACCTCACCAGAAGAAACTTTGAACAATTGCTTAGTCTCCGACATTGTAGAAGCTTCTCCCTAGAAAATAACAAAGAAGACACTTATCACAATTCGAATCGCTAAAGAGCAAGACTAAACCAAGAGATTTACCTCAACCACACGTTCTTGTGCACGACGACAAGAAACCTTAAGTGTTGAACGATCCTTAATCTAACTACGATGAAACAATGAAGATCATAAAACTCAGCGTAAAACTCAAAAACCAGAACGAGACTAAGGATTACGAAGAAGACGTGCCTTCCGAGAGAAAACTCGAGCTCCGATCACTTTCCTACTCAAATTCAATCTACAATACAAATCCAATTCAGAATCAAAACTCAAATTCGAATCATAATTTCGAAGAGACGAAGAAGAGTGAATTGACTAACCCCATGGGAATGGTGAAGCTAGAGAAGGCATTAGTGAGTACCGGAGAGAAATTGGAAGAAAATGAATCAAATGTAGAAGAAGAAGAAGAAGAAGGTGAAGTAAGCATATCTTCGTTGCTTCAATGATCGGAGTTTTTTTCGAATCTTTGTAGTGAGATTCTGAGAGAAAAGGTTATTGTGATGGGACTTTGGGAGAAACGAAGGAGAATCGTTCATTGGAAGTGATTGCCACGTGAACGGAAGCGCGAGTTTCATTGTTTTCTGGAGATTTTCTCTGTTTGTCATTTTCCCGGAAAATATCTTCTTGTACGAGAAAGCAAACCAAAGGGGGTTGGTTTGATCAAAATCGTAACATTTTGGTTTGGTTTGGAGATTAAACCGGTTAATCTTGGATTCAATTGAGTTAGAAGAAAGACTCGGAGTGGATTTTATTTTATTTAACCGGTTTCGGCCATTTAATTTTATGCAACAAATTATTTTTTTAAAAGTACTTTTTTTCTTTATTTTTGGGTAAAATAGATCATATCAGTGACGGAGCTAGTGCAGGGGGGTCAATTGACCCCATAACATTTTTAAATTTTTAATTGTTAGCTAAATTTTATAATGATTACTAGATGATTTTGGCTAAAATTTCTATTATGACCCCCATAAATAGTGATCCAACCATGCTTTTGACCCATGTTTGTTCATTTCTCATTTAACTTTAATTCTGTTTTTCATCTTTTTTTCTTTCTTTTTTTTTTGTTCAAAATAACTAAAACTTTCTAACACCTTCTTACATATTTATTATTTTCTTCTCTTTTAGACATATCCTTTTTTTTGCTACCTTGTTTAAAAAACGTTCCATACCACATATTTTTGAAAAAGTCTAGATATAGACACAATATACTATACATTTTGATAAAAAGAAAATTGAGAACAAAAAGTACTTCATAGTTCATCAACTAAAATATCTTTTATTGAAGCATTTTAAAAACTTCAAGAAAAAATAAATTATTTTCATTTGTTTTAGGTAACAAATTTTAAATGTTCTTAATAATTTATACTTTAAATATATTATTTAATATTATAACTAACTAAAAATAATTAAATATATATGACCTCCGTAAACAAAAATTATGGCTCCACCACTGGATCATATACTCATCAAAAATTTTAAAAATACTTGTTAACTAACTCTGCATATCACCACAAAGTATTTTATACTTATTTTTTAGTTAATCATTCATGCTGAAGTCTTTGTAGGTTATCCACGCTTAAGTATAAAATAATAAAAGTATCTTAGAATAAGTTATTGAAATATAGATAGACGTAGTCAAATCAATGCACTACCATTTTTCAAAGAAATTGTGGTATCATAGAATCCCAATATCATTCTCAAAGAAATTATCAATCTACTTACTAAGCAATTTAACCTTTTCCCAAATATATTTGTTTCTTTAATTTTTTGTTTCTATAAAAAGAATATTTTTATTTTTTTGCATTAAAGAACTGAATAAATCATTTCTTAAAAAGAAACTATTGTTTCTTATACGGGAAAACTGCCATAATAAACTATTACTTTTATTTCCTAATTAATCTTCAATTGGAATTAACTTTGCCAAAATAAATCCATCATATTTATATTTTGATAAGATTTTTTTTGTATTCTTAAATTTGCAACGTATTTGTAATTTCAAGTGTTTTAGTCCTATCAAGTTTTTACTCATTAAACTAAGACATCTCGTTTAGAATTCAAGTTTTTTTTTTTTTTTGGTCCCAAGCTCAAGTAATATATTCTCTCTAACAAATTTTTTGACTACAACCAGACATGAGAAGAGCTTCAACCTTTCCAAATAAGTGGTAACGTCTTAGACGAATTTTTTTTGACTACAACCATACACGAGAAGAGCTTCTTCTGTAGTGCCTCATGGAGAAGAGTATGCTCGCAGAGATGTCCTTCTCTGTTGAAATTGTTTCGTTCGGTTTGAAACTCCACGCATAATGTCGCTTGCTCCGTATCCGTAACGAACCTAACATGAGCCTAGATGTAGTCCAAATTATAATGAGTGATTATGACCTCAGCTTGACTGAAATCCTTGTATATGATGCAATGCTATCATATATTAAATTTTTAGTTTTTACATAACTTGCTTAATTGTTTTTTCAAAAGCTATTATTCAAGCTTGAATTAGTGTGGCGATTTACACTGGAAATAACCAACAAAATAAAAGTATATATAATAATATCTAGTTAAGGGAGGCATATGGTCTTTCTTATAAGTCGATTTTCTCAAAAGTTAAAAGATGGAAAATATCTATATACATCCTAATCGGTTAAAATCCTTTTATGTAAATAAATATTTAGGTCACTTGTCCAAAGATCTAGCCATCTACGTTTTTTAGTTTTAGAAAATTAACATTAGTCATGCAAGATCTTCACCACTAAATCAACATAAAAAATCAATAGCAAAATATTGGGGTCGGTACAAATATTGAACATGTGATGCAATATCAAAAAATTTGGAGGAAATCACTTTTGAAAACAAAAATAAAAAACTTCCACTATGACTAACATGATTACTCTCTCAAGTAATGACGTGAAAACAATCGGTTTAACTAGGAAACTTTTGTTTTTCTTGTAGTTAGTAATTATCTTCTTGTGGCTAGACATTCTATACAAATGTTGTTGGGTTATTGATCACTCTTTTAACATGGTATTTAATAATAAAGGGAATACGTCTATGCACATGGTTGTGAATTGCGGATATACAGATCTCATAACTCAAAGTAAGAAACTAGACAATTTCCTTAGTGCTGGTTGTAATCCAAGAATCCAGAATGCTGCTGGACTGCAACCAGAGCCTGTTACAGTTGATCCCTAACTGTAGAGTTATCCAAAAGCAGCTGCTTAGAATTGGGGGTGAGTGATATATTTTGTTGTTGACAATCTAGTTATGTTTCAAACCGAATCATCTAGCGTATAATCCTCTTTTATAATTAGAAACTAAAATTTGCAAAGAAAAGCAGATTAATTTGCTGTAGATATTCGTTTTTGGTCAGGAATCAAAATTTGAATATTGTACTATAAAAAATAGCATTTAATATTTACTATAACTAAAATAACGTTAAATCATAATATAAGGTAATTTCTCAAATTATAAAACAGAGAAGTGATGTATGAAAATGGGCTTTATTTAGTTTGGGCCTTTCCACTATTCTTTCTAAAAAACCCTAAAACCTTTCGCTCACCTTTCTTATGCAAATCTCCGACGGTATCTTCTCCTCTTCTTCTACATTTGATACTTTCAAAACTCACTAAAGTTTCGATTTTTAATCGATTTTACCAAGATTTGATAGATTTGGAAGATGACATTAGGGTTGTTATTGGGGATTGGAAGAACATTTCGAAGAAAGCGAGCTTCTTCGCTTGATATTCTCTCTCCCAAACGAGCTCCAAGAGACTTTTACAAGGGAAAAAACTGTAAACCTCCTGGTTTCCACACTAGAAAAGGTTTCATTTTTCAATCCAATTCTCATGCTGCAATTTGACAGAATCAATCTGTTTTCATGAACACTTGTTTAGTAGTTTCTTGATGATGATGCAATTGCAATGTTTGAATTTAGATATATGCAATCTAAGTAGAGAAAGCTAAGAACTTTAGCTCAATTTTGGCTAATTGATCGTAATGACGCGTAATATTTGAGGAACTTGATGCATTTCATTCATTTTTTACTTGAATCTGGAACAACTTGTTGCCCATGTCATCCTGCAATTGAGATTTATGTTGTTTCAATGTATACTTGTTTAGTGGGTTATGATTGAATGTTGTTCTTGGTGATGGAAATAGTACCAGATAATGCAAACAAATTACATGCTTTAAGATACCAGATTCTTTAGGAGGAAAGCTAACAACTTTGAACTCAATTTTGGCGAATTGGTCATCATATTCTCAAGTTGTTTGAATTAGATATGTGCAATATAAGGAGTATTATCAGCTAAGTTAAGGATTGTACATGCCCTAAGATACTAGATTCTAGATAAAGGACTCGGACAATTTTGGCAAAAACCGATCATTATAGATTCTTAGAATGTATGATATAAAGTATTTACAATTGTGACTTCCGTCAAACGTTCTCTAAGTTTGTGACAATGGTTTGCAGGAGGATATGTTGTGCAGCCACATAAATTGCCAAACTACGTAGTCCCTGATTTGACCGGCTTTAAGGTTCTCATTCTATCCTGAACTCTTCTGTTACTTTTCTTTGATTCCTCGATATTGAACATGATAACAAAACAATAGTCAATCCCTTCAGATATCCTTTTACATGTCGTAAACTCGTAATGGTTGAAGTTCCTTAGGTTTGTGATCCTGCTGATCTTATTCGTTGTAGGTTTTATGTTGCTAAGCTTAAATAAAATGCAGACTTCTTGAGCTTGTTGTGTGTTTTTCATTTCACCCTAAATTCTTCTGTTCCTTTATTATATAGATTGCATCCTAATTGAACACTAGAACAAAATCCCTTTATAAATCATATACAAGTCGAAGCTCCTTAGGCGTGTGTGATCTTGATAATCTTGTTTGGTGTAAATTTTGTGTTGGGAACCTGAAATAGAATGCTTACTTAATGCATTAGCAAGCTTTGTGTGGTTTTTAGCTTTGCTGATGGAACAATTGTACTTTACAGCTGAAACCATATGTATCACAGTGTCCTTTAGACGTCAACAAAACAACCGAGTCAACTGAAGCCTCCAAGTGAAGAAGTCAGAAGAAATATGTCTTAAAGTCTTCGTTAGCTTCACTTAAGGACTGTGTTGTTCTATGATCTTTGATACACTTTGTTATTCAACGACTCCAAGCAAGTTATGGCGGAAGATAAGTCTTGTGATTGGTAACCAGGGGTGTGTATTTGGGGTTTCGGGTTTAGACTCATGGGACCCGTTCGGGGAATTTAAAACTTCGGATTGGGTTTGGTTTGATACTATTCAGGTTCTGTTGTCGGTTCGGTTTGAGTTCGGGTTCGGTTCTTTGGGTGCAGAAGTCTAGGACCCATTCTGATATTTCTTAATATTCAGATAGGCTTCGGATTCAATTCGGATATTTGGATTCAGATATTTTGCCCAGACCTAACTACTAAGTACTACCGTAATAGGTGTACCATTTCTATTTTAACCAACCAGTAAAATGGTAAGTCAAAGCGGGACGTGAATAAAAATATCCTTACCTTTTTAACGGCCAAAAAAAATCTTTTAACTTTTTAGTATATTGTTGTTAAAAGTATTAAATTAGTTCACATAATTATAACAGATTAAACTTGTGATATGATAATTTTTTTTTAAAACAGTATTATGAGTAAACTCATACTGAAGAAAAAAGGAGTTAATTGATGAAACCAGATGGACCCATTTGATTGGGAGATTTGGATAACAGAGAATCCACAAAAGTGTATCCTTCACAAAACCAAAACACACTCTCCATTTTCTTCAGACAACCCTTCTCTCTTCTCTCTTCTCTCTTCTTGTCTCATCACAAACCACAAATGGGAGGAGTCTCCTTCCTCTCAACTGTTCCTTCCTTCACCAACATAACCAATCTCACCACACTCTCTTCTTCTTCTCATCGCTCTGTGAGTTTCCAACCATTTCACATTCTTTTCTTTCTTGTCCTAACAATTAAGTTCTTATTTTGAAATGATGTTTGATCTAATCAGGCTATGATAAGATGTTGCAAGATTGAACCTCAAGTTTCCGGAGAAAGTTTAGCTTTCCACCGCCGTGATGTTCTCAAACTCACCGGCACCGTCGTTGGAATGGTACATTAACACTTGACTCAATTCAATTACATAAACTTTGGTCCAAATGTTGTATATGTGACTGCATCTTGTTGAAGTTAATGTGTTTGTGTCACATTTGATGAGTTTTTGGCAGTGATGATCTTTTTTGTTAGGAATTAATAGGCAATGGTTTCATTAGTCATGTGGGTGATGCAAATGCTGCTGACTTGAATCAACGTAGACAACGATCCGAGCTTCAATGTGAGTTTTAAAACAAGAACACAAGTGTAGTACCAAGAGGTTGTTGTTATTGGCATTAAAGGTTTCATACCTTTTTATTATGCAGCAAAGATCAAGATTACGCTTTCGAGCGCCATTAAGGCTAAACCGGAGCTTGTACCTTCCATACTCAAACTAGCTCTCAATGATGCAATGACTTATGATAAGGTCAGGCTTCATATAATTCTCTTATCCATATCTTTGGGGTGATTGCACAACTCTTTACCATTTATGCTGGCTTTTTGTTTAGCCTACAAAATCCGGGGGAGCCAATGGATCTATTCGGTTCAGGTATTGTGATCTAAGAACATTATAAGAGTAAATTTTTAGATGATGTCTCATGCAATCTTTTATTTTTGTGAAGCTCTGAGCTAAGTAGAGCAGAGAACGAGGGACTTTCTGATGGGTTGAGTCTGATAGAGGATTTGAAGAAGGAGATTGACTCGATCTCGAAGGGAGGGCCTATTTCATATGCTGATCTCATTCAGTTGGCAGGTGATGATGTTATAGCTTTTACCAAAACTTGTTTATGAACAGCAGCATTATTGTATTGTGATAACTGAGATGTTTCTTGGGTTGGTTTCTGTAGGACAATCAGCGGTCAAGTCTACATTTTTAGCATCGGCAATCCGAAAATGTGGTGGAAATGAAGAGAAGGGGAACTTACTGTACACAGCATATGGTTCAGCTGGTCAGGTAAACAATGCTATCTTATGTGTTTTGAGTGGCGGAGTATTGTTCAAATCGAGACTGAACCGTTGTGAATCTGTTAGTGGGGCTTGTTTGATAGAAATTTTGGAAGGAGTGATGCAACTGAGGCAGATCCAGAAGGCAGAGTCCCACAGTGGGGTAAAGCAACTGTGCAAGAGATGAAAGATAAGTTCATTGCCATTGGATTGGGTCCTCGTCAGGTACATGATTATGGGTTTCAAAATACGGTTATCGGATTTGATCATTCAAAGTAACTAACCTGTATTCGAATCAATGTTTTGAGGGATTTGTAGCTAGCTGTAATGTCTGCATTCTTGGGTCCTGATCAACTAGCAACAGAACAGCTCTTGGCTACTGACCCGCAAGTTGCTCCATGGGTTCAAAAGTACCAAAGAAGCCGTGAAACTGTATCTCAGACAGATTACGAGGTTTGTTTGCACTCGATTTGGCCTAATCATATATTCATCTACTTCAAACTCAAGCTCATGTTTTGGTTTATGAACATGTTTGCAGGTTGATCTAATAACAGCATTCACAAAGCTAAGTTGCTTAGGACAACAAATCAACTTCGAGGCATACACATATCCCGTCGAACGGATCAATCTGAGCAAACTCAAGCTATAAGCTATGTACACTATATGTATAACCAGAGAGGAAACTTAAAACTCATTCCGCAATTGATTTGCTGAAATAAACCAAAGATTTTCTTGACATTGAAACAAAATAAAAAAAGTTGAATCCATTACAAACAAGGAAACAGAACATGGAAGTCAAATCACGATAAAATGGAAACAGATAAAAGAAAAATAATAGGAATCGAGTTTTTGTATCCACGATTAAGAAAAGCGAACAAGGACAAGAATTAGACTGCCTCGGAGAGCTTCGGGATAAAAGGAAATCAGAAACCAACACAGAAACTCCTCCAAGAGAAAAACATATTAATGGAGAGGTTTTAGATACTGAAACAACAAATTCGCCGCAAGACTTAGGATTGTTCTTCAGCAGGTTTTGGTGCTGCTGGGGCTGCTTCTTTGATGTCATCAGCAGCATCGTCCTGATTAAAAACATTTGACAATATCATCATAATCAGAATCAGCCCAGAAGAAAGAAGAAGTGAGGAATGTATCAAAATGTAAACTAAACGATTTGATTTCCAAATCTAGTCTTCCTCAATGGCTTAATAAGGCTCATGGTTCAGAGATCAAGTAACAAAACAGGATTAAACACATTTGACAATCACTACAAACAGACCAGAATAAAGGATCAAAATGTAAACTAAACCGGTTGATTTCCAAATGTAGTCTTCCTCAATGGCTTAAAAAGGCACATGATTTCACAAATCAAGCAACAAAACAGGCTTGAGCAAGTTTAAACACATTTTACAATCACTAATATCAGAATCAGACCAAAAGAATGCATCAAAATGTAAACTTAACCGTTTGATTTCCAAATCTAATCTTTCTGAATGGCTTAATTAGGTTAAATGTTTCAGAGATCAAGCAACAAAACAGGATTTAACACAGTTGACAATCACAATTCACAAACCTCTGAATCAGACAAAAAGAATGCATCAAAATGTAAACTAAACCGTCTGATTTCCAAATCTAGTCTTTCTTCATAACTTAAAAATGCACATGGTTTCACGAATTAAGCTACAAAACAGGATTAAACACATTTGACAATCACACTAAAATCAGAATCAAACAACAAGAATGCATCAAAATGTAAACTAAACCAATTCATTTCCAAATCTAGTCTTTCACAATAACTTAATTAGCTCATGATTTCAGTAATCAAGCAACAAAACAAGACTTATACAGCCAAAAGTATAATACCTGCATATCAGAAGTCCAGAGAGTGAGGTTATCACGAAGAAGCTGCATAATCAAAGTACTGTCCTTGTATGACTCTTCACCAAGAGTATCCAATTCAGCAATTGCTTCATCAAACGCCTAACAAATCCATAAACAAACCTCATCAAACACACACATAACCAACAATACTTTATCATCAAAAACATCCCTCTGATTAGATCCAAACCTGCTTAGCGAGATTACAAGCACGATCTGGAGAATTGAGAATCTCATAGTAAAACACAGAGAAGTTCAACGCTAAACCAAGACGAATCGGATGCGTTGGAGCCAATTCAGAATTAGCAATATCCTACACACAACCAAAACCAAACCAAATTTCACAAACCTAAATCATACAAAATCAAATCGAGTCACAGATCGGAGAAATAGATCGAAAACCTGAGCAGCTTTGTAAGCAGTGAGTGTATGTTCAGCAGCATCTTTCCTCTCTTGACCAGATTTAAACTCAGCCAAGTATCTATGATAATCACCTTTCATCTTCAAGTAAAACACCTTCGAATCTCCAGAAGCAGCAGCAGGAACGAGAATCGTATCGAGAAGCTTAAGGATTCCGTCACAGATATCAGAAAGCTCCGTTTCGATTTTGCTTCTGTAGTCACGGATCAACGAAACGTGGTCATCGTTACCACGAGACTCTTCCTTTTGTTCGATCGATGAGATGATTCTCCATGAAGCACGACGAGCTCCGATGACGTTTTTGTAAGCGACGGAGAGGAGATTACGTTCTTCGACGGTGAGTTCGTCTTTGTCAACAGCTTTTGCGACTTTTTCCATGAATTCAACCATTTCTTCGTAACGCTCTGCTTGTTCAGCTAGTTTCGCCATGTATACGAATTCTTCTCTTGCTGAGGAAGCTCCTGGTGTCGCCATTGTTGTTTAGATCGGAGATGATGATGAACAAAGAAAGAAGAAAGATTCTCAGATCTGAGAGAGAGAGAGAGAGAGAGAGTTTTTTTTTTTTTTTTTGTGTCTCGGCTTTGTAGATTTTTCTTTTTGTTTTTATTTTGGTTTTATGAATGAGTGGGGAGCGACGATTATTACGGTTTGTGAGAAGAAAGGAGAGCCGTTGGATTAAAAGCTGGCAAAAACACGGATTCGTAACGAAAAAAGGCGCTGGCTTTTCAGATACTTTTTAGGTCAAGTTTGAATTTTCAATCATTACGAAGGGTATTTCTAGAAATTACTAACTTAATGGGCTTAGACCCATTAGATTTGAGCCCACTGACTTGTAAATTAATCTCTGCATATGTATTTACGTTCTTTATTTTTCATATAATCATGTATTTCTATCTTGTATTTTGTATATAATCATGTATTTATATTATGTATTTTGCATAAAATTATGTATTTATATCTTGTACTTAGTGTGATCATGTTCTCTAATAAAATATAAACAAACATATGTGATTATACAAAAAACCAACAAAAGCATAGACTAAATATAAAAAGCCAAAAGCATAGACGACTATCAAAACCAAAAACAAATACGAGAACGAAGTATCTTTAACCATGTCAGAAAATCTAAAACTAAAGTCACAACAACAATAATTTTCTTCTCATTCTTTTGTTCTGGTTCTTCCAAAAATTGATAAGAATCTAAACAACATCAAAGCAATGGAGTTTGGTCAAAATGTCATCATCGTGTTTCAAAGTTTCTCTCAAATGAGAAATTAGGGTTGTGTTTGTGATTTTGGGAAAGAAATAGATAATACTACGTCGTTTTACAAATAAAGACTTAAAAAAAAATCCCGACAGTTACCCATAACCCAGTGAGTACTTTTGAATTTTACTCTTTCTAAATTTTGAATTGATTCATTTTACTTAGTCCAAGGCAAATGATGTTATGTATGGTCATGTGAATAAGGTCTGGTGATCAATGAATTTAATATGTGGGGGTGTGTTTTGCTGGGAAAACGGCCTATTCCCCCCTGAACTAAGTTGCTTTATCGCTTCCATACACAGAACTTTCTTGTGTGCTTATACCTACATAAACTTAACTAAAATTTGAATTTACTACACAAACAATTGAAATTCGGTCAAAACCAACAAATCGGTAAACGGCGTTAATATTCCGTTAACAAATGCTGACTAGGATGCCGTGTTTGCAGTTTAAGATGCCACGTAATGCCATGAAACGACGTCGTTTTAGTCCCTAAATAAATAAAAAAATCTAAGACTAACATTCTGGAATTTGAACACACGACCTCAAGCATTCAATAGCCAACACAGAACCAACTGATCTAAGGGAACTTTGGTTACTAATATTTTCAAAAACGTTATATATAACTCAATAAATTAAAAATAACAAAAGAAAACTTATTTCTCTCTCCTTACGTTGTCTTCTCCAATCTTCTCTGTAATCCTCTTTGAACTTGAATGGCTCCCATTACGAATATATGTAACATGGGTTTATGCAATTTGATTTAAATTTTCTTCCCTGTTTAATAGTGTGGCTTTTGTTAACCGGTCGAGTCAATTAATTGGGTTACTTTATTATATGTAAGGCTTACGGCCAAGATAATTAATCAATAAGAAATTCATTCTTATCATACGATTCAAGTCAATACACGAACCCAGGAACAGTGATCTTTCAATTGATGGATAGATCTGATTTCAATCTGATTTTTGGCTATTTATAAGAAGGAGGTCCGTCGTGTTGAAGATTGAAGAAGAGAAATCAAAGAGAAATCAAAGAGAAAGAAGTCGACTTAACCATAATTAGGAAACAGAAGTCTCATTTGGTCTCAAAAACCTTAATTCAAAAGTATATAACCTTAATCCTCACTCTTTGTTTCACTATGTCTCTCGTCTCAATATCTCTCCCAACGACTCGATTTTGCTCTACAAATGAAGTGACGAACCCTAATTCGAATAAATGCCCAAATAACAAAACGACGTCGTTTGTGCAAATCAAAACGACGTCGTTTTGTCTCGTTGTCTAATGAGAGTCCAGCTGGACCAAAACACATTCGTTTAAAATGAACACGTGTCGTCCTCGTCAGCATCCGTTAACGGAACAGTAACACCGTCTAACGATTTGAGGTTTTTCACCGGATTTATAAAGTATGTGTTGTAATTTCAAATTAAACTCGAGTTCATGTAGGTATAAGCACAGAAGAAAGTTCTGTGTATAGAAGCGATAAAGCAGCTTAGTTCAGGGGGGAATAGGCCGTTTCCCCGTGTTTTGCTTACTTTATTTAAATTCAATTCATCAAAGTAAGATTGAGTTTGCTTACTTTAACCAAATCCAATTCATCAAAGTAAGATCAAGTTCAATTAGTCCAATTTGAATTTAGTAGATCGTAGTTTGTTTTGATATGTGATATTAATCCGTTGACAATTTTATCATGAGTTACGGAATTAGTAGGAAAAGTTTGGTTTTCGTAGAAATGGCGTACAAAAGTTTTTTGTTATCTAAAGACGTGACTTTTATCATCTACCGTCTCAATCCAAAATGCACATATCTATTAATTCTTTTTTTTTTTTGAATCTGATAAAGTTCATGAAATGTGTATTATCGCTCAAATATAATTATTTTCTATATTTCAAGCAAAACCAACATTTTTTTCCGTAGGGATCACGTATGTAATGAAACTTACTAGTCTCCGCAATGAAACGACAATCAAGAACTTCAAAGCCTTCTTCTTTGGTGAGAACCTCTGGTTTCACCACCAAATTATGCTCATATTGCAGGTGGTTTGCAACTCCTTGAGCTCCAACCTTCACCAACTTCTTCCACTCAAAAACCTTAGTTTTTTTCGTTTCTTTCATCACACTTGAAAGAAAAACATTGAAACATAAGAGAGAAACATAAGAAGAGTGAGTGATGAAGAGAGAAGTAGATGAAGAGTCACTACAAAAAAAAGTGTGTATTGCATCACATAATTAGTATCACAAAATTAAATGATATTATTTTAAATTACTTGTTAATAAGTGATACAAATTTTGTGGTTTAACATCAATTATAATAATTGATATAATTTTTAATTTGTTTAAAACCGAGTCAATAAAATTGATACAAGTTTATATTGGTTTACATGACTTGTAAAGAATTGACACATATATATGAATTGACATCAATTAAGTAATCGATGTATTCACCTTTTTTTTTGTTAAAATCATTTAAAAAATAGAAATTTTACATCAATAAGAAATGATGCTAATTATGTGAGTTAGCTTCAGTTTCTAAAAATGACATAATTATTTACTCATTTTACATCTGTTGGGTTATATTGATACTAACTTGTATCGGTTAAAACATTTGACACTAATAAAGCCAGTTTACATCAATTAAAATATTTACATGTTAATTTTTTTTTCGTAGTCCAAATATTGAAATGTTAGTTAAAACTTTAATTATTGATAATAAAAATGTTAGTGATTTTAACTTAAATCAATAATTGATACAAATAGTAAAAGACATTAATGAAAAAAAAACAAAATGGCAATATATCGACGGATTTATTGTTATTGATATAATAAATAAAATCCCTAAAATCTCTCCCTCTAATCATGTTCTATAACACCCTATTCTAACAATTTTTTTTTTTTTTTTGTCAACAGCTTAAATTAAAGCTCAAAAGAGCCATTCCTGGGGAATGTTGTTTACATATGTGATATGAAGCGGTTCGGTACGAACTTGTCGAGCCAATTTATCCGCTTTTACATTTGCGCTACGAGGAATTAAAGATAAAGAAAAGCTTGAAAATTCTTCCCTATCACTCTGAAAGTCCTCCATATACACTGAAAAAGCCGGCCATTCGGTTGGAGAAGACACCATCTTCACCAAATCTGAACAGTCTGTAAAGAAAGCTACATCTTGGTTGTCAGCACCAATCATACACTTCATCGCCCAAAGAAGAGCTTCGACTTCTGTATGTAGAGGAGATAGACTTCTACGGATGTTGGCAGCTCCCATGGTTGGCATCTCTCCATTTGATGATGTACAATACCATCCTGTTCCTGAAAAAATATCGGTTCCTTTCCATGATCCATCTATGAAACAACGATATCCTAGATAATTAGACTCCAGTGAGATTTCCCTCACTCGGTTTCGATTTTCATTATCTAAAAAACCATGGTTATCAGTATGAAGCTCATTTTGAGCTAGCTGCCATGATTGCGCCTCTTTCTCCGCCAAACGTAAGACCTCTAATGGATCTTTATCCACATTTTCAAAAATCTTTTCATTCCTTGCTTTCCAAATGTACCAAAGTATCCATGGATAAGAGGATGAATCTATCTCTGAAGGTATTCTCCAAAATAGGTGATCCAAGTTCTCGTAAATAGAAGTCGTAGGGAAAATCCCCGGGACTGAAGGAATTTGAGAAAGAGCCCAAATTTGTCTCGCTGGATGGCATTCAAAAAGTGTATGGTTAACTGTTTCCTCTGTGGCGCCACATTTAACACATCCGGTATCACATTTTATACCTCTCTTTCGCAGATTCTCCGTAACCGGTACACAACCTGATAAAATTTGCCACAAAAAATGTCGTAACTTAGGTGGACACTGCACCTTCCAAGCATATGCTTTTAGAGGTTTTATATCCGGGCAAAATGATTTTGAACTGGCATCCAAATGCTCTATCCGAGACGTATGGTAACCAGATTTAACCGTATATTTTCCAGATTTAGTGTAATGCCAACCAAGGGTATCCTCTTTAGTTGACGCACCCAAAGGCAAGGCACTAATCAGCGAGACATCTTCTGGATCAAAGAGCTCCCTCAAGAGATCCATGTTCCAAAAATTTGACCGGCTGTCGACAAGGCTATTAACTTTCAAAGATGGGTCAATAATTGAATCATTACTTTTTGCTGGTCTCGGGAATTGAGCTGGTATCCATGGATCCTCCCATACTGAGATGGACGCCCCAGAACCAACTCTTTTAATAAGTCC